TCGATATTACGACAATAAAGTCGTCATAAGAATTTATTCTTATTAATCTTGTACGACTTTATTCTCTTAAAATTATGACTTTATTCTAGTATAAGTTTATTCTCGTAATTTTACCTCTTTTATTGTCTTAGTGTTTCCCCAAAAGAAAAATTACTACTTCAGTCGTACCTAAGGTAGTAACTTTAGGTACGACAGAATGTTATTGGCTATTTCACCTGAATGGTGAATCAAAGACAGTTTTTGAATGTATTTTATCGACAAAACATTAAGGTTAACCATTGGTTTGACCTAAAGCAGCAATGGCTTCCCCAGACTCCATCTTGTACCTCTGGAGCAGAGCAGCGCTCCGCTGGCCATCGCCACCTGCAGAGCCTGGGCCAGCCGGTCCAGGGCCAGCTGGGACGCAGCATGTGTGTTGCCGGTGGCTGCGTGAGTGTGTTTGTCAGCCTGGTCCAGGAGGCGCGAGAGATCGGAGGTCAGGGTGGCTACCGACTCCATCTGAAGCAGCGCTAGGCGACCGAAGAGCCCCTTCTCGTTGAGTATGTTGGGTAAAAGCATGAACACCTACATTAGGGAGAAGATGGAGAGAAAAAAAAAACAGTTTGGTTGTTGTCACTGTTTGGACTGAATGTATAGATGCAGAAATTTCGCACGTGTGCACAACTCTGAAGTGCAAAGGGAAAAATAACAAAAAAGTAATTGAAGAACAACTCAAAACCACTCATATCGGCTACGCTACACAAAGATTCATTGCCATAGCAACCGACTGACAACAGCTCCATGAGCATATCAGGATCTAACACCATAAAACATGCAAACATTTCCCACACAATGAAGAGAACATTTGGTCCGTTACAGTTTTATGTCTTCAAGTTTTATGTTTATTTTACAATAATTAATAAACAATCATCTGAGCTCTGAACACAGTGGTGGTTGATTATCTAATTTAAACACCTGCTCCACAACAACCTGTCAGAGTTGATGTGTGGGTCGCCTTTTTATTTTAACTCAACCGAAACACCCTAAATTCTGCAGCACACCGACATGTTAAGGTTGTCAAAGTCAAGCTAGCATAGCTGACTTCCTTCCTTCTCCTTTGTTATTTTTTTTATTAAAACTTTTCACTGATCTGTGAGATGTGATACCCTTGTCATGTTGCAACATATATTTAATGTTTAACTAGAGCGCGCGCGCCTGCACGCACACACACACACACACACACACACACACACACACACACACACACACACACACCCACCTGAAGAACACTTAGATGTAGAGCAGAGAAGAGGCGCGCCGTGTCCGGCTCACTGTCAGAGCTCCCGTCGTTCACCTGCTTCTTGTCCCGCCTGTAGGCCAGCGGCGCTTTGATGCACCAGCGGATCAACCCACCAAGTGGCGTCATGTCCAGAGAGCTGATTGGCTGGCTGCCGGACAGGGGCGAGTTCAGGAAGGTGATCAGGACCAGCCGGGGGTCGTCTTGGATCCACGACACGATCATCTGGAGGAGCTCCATTGGAGGCGTGAGCTCGTCTGGAAAAATGAAAAAAAAAAAAAAATAATAAAAAAAAAAAAGTCGTGTTGCCGAGGTTGCTAGGTGTTCCGCTGCAACGCGGAGGATGTGATTTCTGCGTGATCCTGACGTACCGGAGGTGAGGTCATACAGAGTTGTGACGGCTGTGATGAACTGGCAGCAGAAGCGAGGGCTGGCGCTGTGGATGTTGTGAAGGGTGGGCCCAGATCCCGGTACCATGCTGCAGTAGTCGTCCACCAGCACCTGCGCCAGGCGGACGCAGTACACACGATGGGTCCTCTGTAGGCACAACCGCAGGCAGAGCATGAACACTTTCACACTACACATGACAAGAGGCTTAAGAGTTTTATTCAAGGGCAACATATTAGAGGGGGCCAGAAATAAAAGCATAACACTCTATTCTGATTTTTATTTGTAAAAATAAGCATCACCGTAAATTACTTTCCTTCTTCGTCACAATACTGCTGAAACGATGAATCGGATTAATCGATTATAGAAGTAGTCGTCAACTATTTTACGAATTGATTAATTGTTAACATTTACGGGCTCAACAAAGGCAATTTGCTGAAAGAACAACATATTGAGAGCAGCAATTAAGGCATTGCTGTACAAAAAATATATACGTTTTGCATTTAAGATAATAAGTAAGTAAGTAAATCTGTTCTACCTAAATCTCCTTGAGATTCATCATGATCGATCAGATTAATTGCCCCAGCCCTACGTGGACTCCTCACCTGTAGCCAGGTGGCAGTACATTCCAGAATGGGAACCCTGCCCACAGCGACTGCCATGGAGACCAGTTTGCTCAGCAGCGCCATCCGACTCTCGTCCGCCTGGTTTCCTTGGAGATTGAAGAGAGCGGAGAACATGAGCTGGCGCACCGTGTCCCGACTCTGTTCCTGGAAACAGCTGCACATGATCTCCAGGAGCTGCAGCTCCTGCAGAGCACTCATCCTCTGTTGGAAAAAAATAATAATAATTGGTGTTTACATTTTGATGCTGTTGATTATTTACTCTACAGGACCTTTTGGGGGGAAGGGCTTACTTACCCTGACAGGTGAGTTTCTGTCCTTGGGCGTGTGCAGGATAAACTCCTCGATCAGATCCAGGGTTTTGGAGTCGACCTGAGGGGGCTGCCTGCCCGACTGCACCATGTTGCAGATGTAGATGTCCAGGTGGTAGAGCAGCTCCTTGGCAGCGCTCAGCACGTCCCGAGGCAGCAATGACTGACGGATGTCACCCATCGCAACCTGACAGGGGAACGAAAACACACACACACACACACACACATTTAATGTCTGAATATCATCTTTACCGTGCAAATGTAGAGAACAGCTAGCCCCCTAGGGAATGACGCGTCAACAGCTTTAAAGTCAATTTCTTCTGGAGAAATTTATCACTTTAGATAAATTATTTGTGTTTGAATGACGCTCGTTTGTTAGATTAAAGTGCCTTTTATACCCACTTTTATTTCTTTATATTAAAAAAATAAATGCAATAAAGTAATGTATAATATGGACAAGGCAGTATTAAACATATTTGTTATTAAACTCAAATTTCTGGATTTTTTTTTTTTTTTACTGGTTTCATGTAAAATGTTGAGGTTTGAAACAACAGAATAGTCTTATTAATCCCACAGCGGGGAGATTCACTTGGTACAGCAGCACAGTAACAAAATATACACGACTGAACATAAAATTCATTTTACTCCACATTACTACTCCATATAATATGGAGTAAAAGCAATTTTAAACAACTGTACATTCATAAAGTATCTACAAATAAAATAAAATGTAAATTAAATACAACCTGAAAACCAGTTCTTTTGTTCAAGGTCATATATGAAAAGCATGATTAGACTTACTGTTTATATAAATATCGCACTGAATGGACATATGATTGCACTGATTTTTGGCAACTAAAGTAATTAGTAATCAATGACTTCCTGGTTCCTTGGGGGTATAAATATGATGCAAGTCAAAGGCTAATTTATTTTGGCTATTGAGAACCAGGCTGGATGATAGTTAGCTTCCCACAGTGGAACTGAGCAGAATGATAAGGGAGGTAGAAACACTGCAGGTAAAAATGGCATTTTGGGGTCAACAAGTCTCCATAACAACCATTAGATGCTGTCCACGTGCGGACTGTTCATATCCCAAAAGGTGTTCCTGTTAAGAGTTAAATATACCTGGTTAGTTTGAAATTCTGCACGAGGCGCAATGATAATGCAAAGTTTACTTTGCTAAGTCTGTCAAAAGTAAAAGCAGCAACAAAGAGTAGTAATACAACAATGCGATATTTTTTTTTTTTTTTGTAAAGAAATGGACAAATAACGACGCAAACAGAAACTAAATAGATAAAAAGAAAGTACTCATTTTAATGTCGGGTTTTAGAGTGACCAACGCCCACTGAAAGTCCACAGAGTCAGGATTTTCCGTATTTCTGCAGCTCATCCTTGACTCGGTCCCTGTCCATTCTGCTATGCTTACTGTTAGCAAGGCAACAACTGGCGGCTATTTTTCAGCTTCGCGACCAAAACTCACACACGCTAGCTTTTCCTAGAAGACAAACAGACACGTTGCAAGCTTTTACCTCTTCGAAGACTCTAAATTCAGCAGAAAAATGATAAGTGGAGTAAAAATAAATAAAAAAATAAAATAAAAATAGACCTCACTAATGGAGAGAATGAACCACTTCCTCCTCCTACGGAAGCCTGCTTGGTATAAAAATTACCAGCATTGTCAGAGCAAATCTGATATAATAATATTAAAGTATATTGATGAATATAATATATTGAAAAATAGCATTAGTTATTTAACAATTATAAATAAACAACATAAAATAAATTAAAATATTGTTAGCGTTAAAATATAAAATGAAAAACTACACAAAACATAAACAAAGAAATAAAATATTTATTTTCCACAATAACTTTAACTTGTATTTTTGAATTTTGATTTAGCACTGGTTAGCACTTGAATTAGCAATTAGCAGTTTTGAATTGAATTTTTTTTAAGAGTCTTTCAAATGTTTTTAAAGCAAAGTTTCACCAATTTGACTTTTACATTATCCTGCACAACATGGATTTTATTTATAAGCACACTTTAAATATTTCATCAAAATAAAATCAAAATAATACAAAATAATAAAAAAATAAATCAGATGTGACTAGTTTATTCGTTTAGATAGGAAAAACACGGAGTAATTACTGCATTTTTTATTTATTTATTTTTATTTTTTTTGCATTTGTTTTAACCAAAAATAAACTTTTAACATGGTAATTTGCTTTATTGTGTGATACACAAAAAATACAACATAAAAAAAAAACGTTTTTATTGCACTAAGTAACAGAAAATACACACGAATTCAACTACAAATCTTTGGTTTTTCATTATATAGACACGAGCGCGCCCACGGTATTCACGGAAACGCGCCTGCAGGGGGGGGGGAAGGGTGCACTGTCGCTGCCGCGCGCTCTCGACAGCACTTTGGTGTTTTGCACTTCGCCGTCCCGCCGGGTGATCTCTAGCATCCCGCAAGATGACAATTAACACCCTGGCTAAAGGAGGTCTGCAGCCGGAGCAAATGTCATGCTTTCGGAAGGTAACGCTTTTCAAATCCGCTAGCTGTTGTTTTTATATATACATATATATATTCTACTGTACAACAGGAGCGAACCGAGATAACCCAACATGCCTTCTATTGTGAGGTACTTTCTATTGCCTCACAATAGAAAATGAATATATCAAAACATGATTTAGCGTGGTTGTGTTTTGTTTCTGAACTTCTAACTTATTGATGAGCGCGTTTAATGCGAGTCTTTTCTGTGTTTCGTGCGCGCGTGCCCCCATTCGACAGATGGAGAAAGTGCTCGTGGCCATGCAGGACCCTGACATGGGCATGAAGATGAGAAATCAGAGGCTCCTCATCACTGTCATCCCACACGCCATGACAGGTGTGTGTATTTGTGAAAACACTTTTATTGTCTGCTAACAACCAAAATATGACAACAAAAAAGGGACCTTCCAGAATATCAGAAATTATACTTTTTAAATTACATTTTCATGTTTTTAATTTTACAGGCCACGATATAATTACCTGGCTGATTCAGAAATACCACATCTGTGAGGAGGGTGAGTGCTCTGGGTGATAAAAGGTGTGTGACTATAGCTTGTTGTGTGTCATAGGAGAGTTGCCAGGATATGGTGTTTGCTCTCAAGATGAGACGAGAGACGAGGTAGATGTGATTCGGGTGTGTGTGTGTGCGTGCGTGTGTGTGATCCAGAATCCAGGGGTGGCAGTTTCCAGTAAACAGGAATAGAGTGAGCCCCGTTGGGCCGGAGTTTGATTAAGTCGCTTGATGATGTGCGTTTGATTAGTGTTCTCTCGTGGTGGAGGTCCTCAGGGGATATTACCATGCCTGAACTAATTTGAAGGTTGGAAAAAAAAGGTGTACACTGTTCCTTTTTCACCCTGTATGGACTTAAGAGTGTGAATGAAGGTAATAAGGTGTCACTCAAAAAATAGGTCCCTAAAACTTTAATTTAGCTCAGTTCAGTTTATTAATATAGTGCCAATTCATAACTACCATCTTCTAAACACCAAACGGATCCAATTTTTACACAGAACCAGTGACTGTTTCTGATATGGGCGGCATGGGCAATCACCCAGGGTGGCATCTTATATATGGGGCGGAATGAGAGTACTAAGATTTTTGTTTTTCAATGTGAAATTCCTCTTTCAGATCAATTAAATCACATAGTCTGATTTAAATGGATTTAATCGAATTCTCATTTGATACTATTTGTATAATTCAGTGCAGTTGAATTCAGTACATGATTTGAATTCAATTCAAAATTCACAAATACATTTTTGATCCCAAAGGGAAATTTAAATGTTGTTTTGGCTCGTTCAATTAAACGGTTGTTATAGATGGCGATGTCTGTGGGAAGGATTCATCTCCTGTAGCAGTCTATGTTACAACAAATTTGAGGAAGCCTCTGACTGAAGACACTCTGTTTATCAGTGACGGTTTCATAAAGAAGATGGCCATTTCCACCAACCTTAACGCCGTCTTCTGAGCAAGCAAATGGTGATAGTGGAAATTAAGTACTTCAGTTTAATCTGGTAGAAAAATAAGAGCATATTACCAGATATACACCAACCCTATGGTGAAACATGGTGGTGGCAGCATCATGCTATAGGGATGTTGAAAAAGAGCCATACAACGTTTGCTAACAACGTGTTCCGGTCAGATGAGGCTACAGAAAACTGTGGTCTCAGAAAACTGATATCATCCTTAACACATCATCGCCATGTTGATTTTTTATTTATTTTTTCACCACAGGCAGGAAGCTGCTAATAAAGGGCAATCCTGAAAATAAGACTTGAGAGCGGGGCGGAGGTTCGCTTCCAGGAGGACAGCGAGCCTAAATATACTGCTGGGATGGCAAACTGAATGATTTAGATCACAGCAATATGGTCTAGTCGAAGTCCAGATCTAAATTTTTTACCAGGCCGGTCTGGAAACTCCTATGGAAAATTTTCCGGGGAGGCGCCACTGTCAGTGGGACTACATACAAGTGAATGAAATGCTATTCAAATTGTCTTTGTAGACAAACTGCCAAAAATCATGAATATGTTTTCTTAATATTACACTTCCTAATGCATATTCTCGTCTTCTTCTTTTTCTTTGTTTATCAGAGGCCCTGCATCTTGGTGAGATGCTGGTCAAATACGGATACATCTACCCTCTCAAAGAGCCCCGCTGCCTGGTGTTACGACCCGACGAGTCGCCTTACCGCTTCCAGGTCAGACCATCAGCTGCATGTTTGTATCCACAGCAAGAAAAGAAAAATGTCTTCCTTACGCCTAACTTTACCTACACTGCCACTTTAACTCTGATAGTATCTTATCTCCGATTTTCACTCTGTGTCTCCATCAGTCAAATTCCTAAATGAATCCCCTCATCCATCTGTCAGCGTCTGTTTCTCTTCTTTTATTGTCCGTGTGAAGAACGATATCAGTTTAAAAAAAAAAAAATTGCTGTGTTTTTCCCAGACTCCTTATTTCTGGACAAGTACCCGCTGGCCCGCCTCAGAGCTGGACTATGGTAGGAAAATCTGTAAAATGTTTTTAAACCTCATAAGGAAGAAAAAGACAGAATTGGCACTAATCTTCTCTCTTTTGTATTTCTCTTCGCTGTTGCGTCCACAGCGATCTACTTGGCTAAAAAGAACATCAGAAAACAAGGAGAACTGATGGAATATGAAAAGGTAGGGACCGTGTGCGTGTGTATCCTAGAAGCAGAGAATGAGTGTGTGTGATGAATTATGTAGGAATGAGTTTGCTTGTGTCATCACTCCTCTTCCGTCCGTTTCTCCCCACCCCACCCTCATGCCTTTTTAGGAGAGGTACAGTCTGTTGCACAAGCGGATCAACCACACCTGGGACTTTGTGGTGATGCAAGCCAGAGAGCAACTGAGGTGCACTTACACGCAGCCGCGCCGCTCCCACGCGCCATTAAACATGCATACCAACTTCCGCTGTGATTTCTGTTTATAGGGCCTCCAAACAGAGGAGGAAGGCCGACCGAATTGTCCTAGAATGTCAGGAGCAGGCATACTGGCTCATCAACAGGCCGCCGGTAGTCTCACCATTACACCAATACTGCTTTCTTTTCTATACTAATGCAATTCGTCTAAAGCAGCAAAAGTTATGGTACCCTTTAGAAAAAGACATTATGATTAACCCATGAAGCTTCACACAAACCTGCTCTGGGAAGCTTGACCAATTTATGATGACAGAGAAAAGAGTTGATTTCTGCATTTAGGTTTTTGGAACAAAGAAAAAAAAAATTGTACTTTGCAGACAGACACAGAGAGGTTTCTGGAATGGAGCATTCCTTACTTGTGGGAATAAAATGGGCAAGTGCGTGATTTGTAACCTAATGGATTCTTTGTGCCATTACTTTTGCTGTGCAAATATCTGTGTAGATATTTAAAGAAAAAACATTGAAAACGTGCTCAAATTAGCTCTGTTACAGGCTGAAGAGCCCTTTAATTTCTGTGCTATGTCACACTATGCTACATTATCCCATGCTATGTTATGCCATGATATGCTATGCTATATTATAACCATTCTATGCTATGTCATAAAATGCTATGCTATGCTATATAATACCATGCCAAGCTGTATTATCCTGTACTTTGCCATACTATCTTATACTATGCTATCCAATACTATATTATACCTGTTATGCTATGATATGCTAAGTATACTATGTTAAGCTAGGCTTGACTCAAACACTATATTATTTGATGCTATGCTATCCTAGGCTAGTCAGAACTATCATGCTATGCTAGGATACACTTTATTGTAGCTACTGTGCTATATCACTACACATTGGTAAATATGCTTTAGTCAAAACTTTTGTAGTGGTATAGTTTTAGTTTCACCCAGTCCAGCTTTACAAAAGTAATGCTATATTGCATTTTAGGCAACAAAATGTTTATTTTTCTTATTTAAAAAGGGAATAAGATTATTTGTTCATTTGGATCTTTTACTAGACCTCTAATATTGTATGAAAAGACTTAAGTGATTAATGGAAAAATATGTAGAATGTGCCAACTTTTCAGTCTGACTAATTGTCAGAAGAATTGACTACTAAGATAATCATTAGATGCAGCCCTAATCCTTACTGTGGATGTTAAAAAAGTTACGGTTTCTCCAGTTCCAATTTCGTACTTTGTGCTTGCATCATGTGAACCAATTTTTATACAAGTTTATGATTTGTGTTTTTAAAATCCAATTATTCCACAATAACTATCTGATTCACTACTGCTTTTTTTTTTAAGCTACAACGGTAGCTATTGAAAAACTGTTAAGGACCGCACAATCAGAGGTCCCACTAATGCTCATCCACAGTTCCCCGCATGTGCCTCACCGCATGCAATATTCAGACTATCTGTTAAAAGCCAGAGCTGACAAAAGCACAGACACAGTGTTGTGGGGTGGAAAGAAATAAGAAAATCTCCAGCTCTTCAGTGCATAAACCTCCTTTTATCCTCACACAAACACATGCAGAGGAAGAGGAGAGGTTTAAAGGAAAAAAGTGGAGGAAAGACGCGAAGGAGAGAGCTGTGAGGTGTAGCAGGGTTTGCATAGGGACTCCATGTGGTAGACCTTATGAATTAAGGAAGAGGGCTCAGGGAAGAGAAAAAAAACTTTGGAATTGAAGGAAGAGTTGGTGGTGTGGAAAACAACAGGAAGGTTCAAACTTGTCCAGTCAGCGCGACACATTTCTGTACAAACACACAGCAGACCCAAAATGCTTTATAATATGTCTAATTGTACACATTTAAAGCAGCATTGTGTAACTTTTATAAAAATATATTTTTTAACATATTTGTTGAATTGAAACTGCTGCTATGTTGCGACAGTATGGCATCATACATAATCTGTGGGGGGGGGGGAATAAAACAAGCTATGCTGCAGTTAGCATAGCCTGTTGTGAATGCTACGGCTAATTAGCATGGCAGCAGATAAGCATTTTTTTTTTCTGTAATGGCAATATGCTTCTCCGCCATTCGCACACTGAGCGGCGTACACGAGCGTGACTGACAGTGCCAAGACCCGCCTCCTGGCTCTGATTGGTTGTTTTTGGTTGGTGCATTTCTTCAGACTGCATAGCGGCTAAAGGAAGAGGAGAGCGGAGGAGATCAATCTTTTCACAGATTATTTTTCTCATACCATACTTTCACGAGTTTCAGCAAATATGTAAAAAAAATATATTTATTCGTTATAAAGGTTTCATCCTTAGTTATAATGTTTTTTGTTATTATTTTTCTTAGCCCGGGGTGCAGAACATGTTGGACTGGGGTCTGGAGCGACCAAACAACTCCAGCACACGAGTCCCTCTGGTCGGATCCTCATCTTCTCCCCCATTTCAATCAGTTTATTGCATTAGCATTACCCTCTCTCTCTAACTCTGCCGCTGCTTTCCTTTTTTCTTTGTTTTTCTTGCTGCTCGGGTTACGTCAAAGTAAGTGCTCGATTTGTTGACAGCTGTTACATCTACCTGCAAATCAAGTCAGTGTGCAACCTTAAGTTGACAATGCCGTCTCACCGTCTTCCAGAACTAGAACAGCGACTACTACAAAAGCGAGGTAAATAACGCGTCGCTGCAGCTCAGACGTGCAGCGACGCGTTTATCACATCTGTCTTCATCCTTAACAGATTGAAACATCCAGACGAGCCCTCGGAAGAAACCGAGTAAAGTCCTCTGTCTGCCTCGAAGGGTATGTGTCGGTTCGATTTAGGTCTGCGCGCACGTTCTCATGTGTCCATTAGATCTTATGTGCATAAGGCGCACACGTTCACATGTGCGCCTTATGCACATAAGATCTAATGGACACGCTGTTGCTTGGACCAAATTCCTCCACCCACTAAGCTTACTGCTCCCTCCATAAGAGCAGCTAATGGAGCCTTCCTAGGGCAAGTTGGAATTAGTGGCCATTAACTGCTGCGTTCTGCTGCACTAATACAATAAATCTGTGTGTGTGTGTGTGTGTGTGTGTGCGGGTGTTTTTGTGTGTGTGCGGCATGCCTTTGCATCTGTGCAGCTTTGTCAAGTACAGCGAGCAGTACCAGAACCACGATCCCATAATGCAGGGCTGCCTTCCCAGTAACCCCTGGATCTCTGATGACATTGCATACTGGACGATGAACTCAGAAATGTAAGACGAGACGCGATCGTACCGGTGGAGTTCACCGCTTTTACTGGAACTCAACGAGAAAGACGTAGCCAAGCTAGCTTTTGTTGAAGTTTGGCGACGGTTAAGCTAATTGCAGAACAAAAGAATCTAAAATGATTCGGTTCTTCATGTCACCACAACCGTCTGGTTGGTCCTATAATTAATAAGCTTTTCTGCACGTCTCCTGTGGGATAGTCACACCCCTCCTCCTCCGTCTGACAGGGTTGGAAGGTTTCCATGCAGTCACTCTAATCTTTAGTTTCCATCACAGATTTCTCAGTTGGCTGGATTTCTCCAAAACATTGTCAGAGAAACTCTTTATATATATATATATACATATATATATATATACAT